TTCCTCCTTGGATCCAACCCTTTTTGGGACTCTCTGAGCTTCCTGGATCTCCTGGAAGTCTATTTCTTTGCCAGATTGGGGAAGTTTTCCTTCATTATTTTTTCAGATAAGTTTTCAATTTCTTGCTCTTCTTCTTCTCCTTCTGGCACCCCTATGATTTGGATGTTGGGACGTTTAAAGTTGTCCCAGAGGGTCCTAAGCCTCTCCTCATTTTTTCAAATCCTTGTTTCTCCATTCTGTTCTGGCTGAATGTTTATTTCTTCCTTCGGTTACAAATCATTGATTTGAGTCCCAGTTTCCTTCCCTTCACTGTTGGTTCCCTGTATATTTTCCTTTATTTCACTTTTCATGGCCTTCACTTCATCCTCTCTTTTGTGACCTTACTCAACAATTTCTGTGAGCATCCTGATTACTAGTGTTTCAAACTCTGCATCTGATGGGTTGGCTATCTGTTCGTCACTTAGTTTTATTTTTGGAGTTTTGATCTGTTCTTCCATTTGGGGCATATTTCTCTGTCTCAGCGCTCCTGTTATGTTGTAAGGGGTGGCACCATAGGTGTTTCCAGGGTCGGGCAAGCCACGTTTCTGTGTTGTGGAGCTGTATGTGGGTGAGGGGTCAGAGAGGGAACTATGCCTCTTGCTTGGCTCTCACCCCACTTTCAGACACTTCCCCCGCTACCCCCAAGCAAATTAGGCCCTTCTGGTGCTGATTCCTGGGTGGGTGGGCTTGTGTACATTCTAGGACCCCGCGGGTCTCTCCAACAGACTCTCCTGTGAGGCTGGGAGTTTCTCGCTGCCGCGTCCCCCACGGGTTTCTACACCCAGAGGTTTGGAGGCTTTGTTTTTGAACCCTGGGTTGCACGGCCTGTCTTGCTCCCCAGTTGTTCCTCCCAGTTCATCTGCACGTGAATGTGGGACCGCCCGGTCCTCCAGGCGTCGCCTGGCCATGCATCCTCTCCACCCCAGCTGCCTGTCTCCACCCCTCCTACCAGTCTGGGTGAATGTTTCTTCTTAAATTCCTTGGTTGTTGGATTCCATACAGTTTGGGTTTTTTGGCAGTTCTGGGTTGTTATTTTTTTGTTTTTAAAATTGTTGTTGTCCATCTTTTGGTTTTGTGAGGAAGCAAGGTGTATCTACCTACACCTCCATCTTGGCAGGAAGTCTGAATCTTCAGTGTATTATGTTTTACAGTAATAGTTTAATGAAGATGTAACTCTAGATAGTTTTATATTGTTAAGCTATCATTGGTCTCTTGGGACCTGAACTCTATGAGGCTTTGGATTTCACATAGCATTAGACTCTGTGTAGTAGTAGATATGTGCCAGGACAGCGATGGATTAGAATCTACCCCAATTCCAAGCTTAATGAGTAAATTTTGCTTATATTCAATGACAGCAGCAGATTCATTTAGCTAAACTAATTCCAAAGAGTAGAAGTACACTGACCTCAATCAATTTCAAGTTGCTCTTTATTTCTGCACATGTTGAGTACTTTTTACAATTTGAAAAAAAAATCAGTTTTGAAAGTTTCGACAAATCTTAAAATTGAAAAGGCAAATAATATGAAGAAGAAAAGCAACTATCAGTTGCATTTTACACATACTGCTATTTCAACTGAAAAGTAAAACAAAAAAACTTTCATGCAGAATATTTTGAGAGCTTATTCAAATAAAGTTTCCAACCTAAAATTTTAGTCTTTTCAATCTGCCCTTTTATCTTCTTTCTTATGCTAGCTTTGGGTCTGCTTTGTTCTTTATTTTTCTAGTTCCTTAGGTTGCAAAGTTAGATTGTTGGTTTGAGGTTTTTCTTTTTTAATGTAAGCATATATGTACATATATGAATCTCCCCTCAGCGCTTTCACTGTGTCCCATAATTTGGGTTTCTTGTGTTTTCATTCTCAGTTATCTCTAAGTATTTTCTCATTTCTCTTATTTTTTTTTTCCATAAAAGTGAGTTGGGTAATTCTTACAATTTTGTGAATTTTCCAATTTTTTGTCAGAGAAGGTACTTTGTGTATCAACGTTTTCAAAGCTATTGAGATTTAATTTAAGGCCTAACACATAATCTATCCTAAAAAATGTCTCATGTGTACCCAAGAAAAATGTGTGTTCTGCTTTTGTTGACTGGAGTGTTCTGTCTATTCGATATAGTTCATTTGTGTTAAGCCCCCAATTTCCTCATCTCCTGTCTGCTTGTTCTACCCCTTGTTATAAGTAGGGTATTGAAATCTTCAGCTATTATTGTAGAACTCTCTTTCGTCAGTTTTTGCTTCCTATATTATAATGGTCTGTCATTAGGTGATATGTTCATAATTGTTTTATCTTCTCGCTATATTGGGTCCTTGTCTCTTGTAATCTTTTAATATTTAGAATCTACTTTATCTGATATTAATACAGCCACTCCTTTTCTCTTTTGGTGACTATTTATAGGGAACACTTTTGTCCATCCTTTCACTTTTAACCTGTTTGTGCCTTTGGATATAAAGTGAGTCTCTCATAGATGATATTTTATTGGATCTTGTGTTTTTATCCATTATGCCAGTCCCTGTCCTTTGATTGAAGAATTTAATCCATTTACATTTAAACTAATTACTGATAAGGAGGGACTAGTGTCTGTCATTGTTTTGTTTTCTATATGCCATATAGCTTTTTTATCACTCATTTTATGCACTCTTCTGTTAATTTTTTATAGTACAATATTTTCTTTCGTGTATATTCTAGTTATTTTCTTTGCAGTGACCATAAGAATTACACTTAACACCCTAAGTTTGTAATATCTAATTTTAATTTATAGCAGCTTAACGTCACTAACAAGAACATTACAGCTCCATCCCCCACCTTTGGGTTGATGTCACTAAATTACATCTTCCTACAGTTTGACCACAGACATGAATTCTTCTAAATGTATTTGTCTCCTAAATTACATAGAAAACAAGATTTGTGGTTATAAATCAAAGTTACAGTAACACAAGCTTTTACATTTTCTTTACATTTCTTAAATTGTAGAAAACAAAAAGTACAGCTACAAACTATTGTTATAACACTAGCTTACATATGGCTCATGCATTTACCTTTGCTGAGATCTTTGTGTCGGTATGGCTGTGAGGCACTGTCTAGTGACCATTCAATTCACCTCACAGGACTACCTTGAGCATTTCTTGCAGTGCGGGTCTAGTGGCCATGAACTACCTCAGCTTTTATCTGGGAATGTCTTGACTTCTCCCTCACTTTTAAGGGCAGTTTTGCTGGATATAGGATTCTTGGTTTACATTTGTTGTTTTGCTTTAGCACTTTGAACTAGCCGTCTTCTGGCTCCAAACTTTCTGATGAGAAACCTGAAGATAATCTTATTGATGATTCCCTGCATATAAAGATTCACCTCTCTTGTTGCTTTCAGGACTTGCTCTTTCTCTTTTGCAAGTTTGATTATAATGTTCTTGGTGTGGTTCTTTTTAAATCTTATTTGGGAGTTTGTTGAGCTTCTTGTATGTTTATATTTACATCTTCCATCAGATTTTAGAAGCCTTCAGTTATTTTCTTTAAATATTCTCCTCCCCTTTTCTCTCTTCTCTTTCTGGGACTCCCATGATAAGTATATTGGTTCATTTAATGGTATTCATAAGACTTTTAGGCTCTGTTCACTTTTTTCCAATATTTTCTTTCTCTTCCTCAGCCTCAAAAGTTTCTATTATTTATCTTCAAGTTCTCTAGTTTTTTCTTCTGACTTCTCATATATGCCTTTAACTCCCTCTGCCAAGTTTTTTTTCATTGTAGTTTTCAGATCTGGAATTTCTTCTTGGTTTATTTTTACATTTTCTGTCTCTGATATTTTCATTTTGTTCACACATCATTTTCTTGACTTTCTCCACTCTTTCCTTTAGTACTTGGAGCTTGAGACAGTTGCTTTATTCTTTATTAATATATTTGCCATTAAATCTTTTACAGGCACAGATCCTGTTGAATTCTTTCCTTTTTCTTTGAATGGGCCATATGTTTCTATTTCTTTGTATGCCTTGTAGTTTTAAAAAAAACACACCACCACACACTGGATATTTATGTTAACTCCAAAAATCAGATACTGCTTTTCCCCTCGTTTTGTTGTTCTTATTTTTACAGTTGTTGGCTCTCTCTTTGCCACAAATAGGCGTGAATGTGAATGTGGTTTCCTCAGGTCTTTTCTGAGCCTTTCCTTGGGTATGCAGCCACTGTCTGGTTTTCCTCACATATGCAACATATGCAGTTGTTTTTTTAAAGAATTTTGTTTAGTTATTTTTAGAGAGAGAGGAAGATGAGAAGAAAGAGAAGGAAACATCAATATGTGATTTCCTCTCACATGCACCCCACTGGGGACCCAGCATGCACGCCAGGCGTGCGCCCTGACTGGGAATAGAACCAGTGACCCTTTGGTTCACAGGCCAGTGCTCAATCCACTGAGCCATGTCAGCCAGGGCATACGCAGTTGTTTTTGAGTGTCAGTCTTTCCTCTCTGGCTCCTGAAAGGAGAAAAGCAAACAATGAAGCAGGTGGGGAAGGGCACCAACCAATTAAGGCTTCTTCTAGCAGTCACTTCAACTAGAGGTGGGGCCAGCAGCCAGGAGAGAGGTGCTGCAATGGCTGCCAACCTCTGCACCTTTTGATCAGTAGTAGCATCAGTGATTGGTGCTCAGATCCCTCATAGTGAGGACAGGGTCCTTTTTACCCATCCTAGTTCCCGTACGCTGTGTGCAAGCTGCTGCAGGAACAAAGGAACACTGCCTGCCATGTGGCTGGTGGTGGGGGACAGGTTGCTGCTACTGTGTCATCAGCTGAAATTGACCAAAATTAACCAGTTTACCAGTCTTTCCCTGGAAGTTGCAACCTGTTAACAGACTCAAGTTCCAAAATAGTTGTATCATTACTGGTGTTATTTTACCCATATTTTCTGTGATTGATCCCAAGAAAACTTAAGCTACCAAACCAATGAAACCCAGTAGTTAACATTTTATAAAAATACATCTTTATTGTTTCAATGTTCTTACATGATACAGATACCAAGTCATATAAATTTAGTCATGTTAAATATACATTAAACAAAAAACTAAACTCAGCAAAAATGCTGCAAAATCCCTCTACACCATGAACCCTTATCAAAAATGCACACTGAGATAGAACTATTATATCTTAAATCATTATGCTCAGGAAATTACTGCAGCCAAGTGTCAACGTTTAAGCAGCAATAAAGAATGTGATACAGGACAGAACTACGGCGGGTTTCTCAACCGCACACACAGGCAGCCAGGTGAGGTGAATGGCCCCACTGAACGTTTCAGGAAAGCATCATCTTTGTGTAACAAAGACCAGGGGCTTGTCCAACTACAGTGTGATTTCAAAGCAACTTCAGAAGAGTGTGGCCAGAAGACTTGGTAGTCACATGACTCCAGCACATGCATTCCAGAAGATCCAACTATGAGAAACACATCCATCCTCTTTACTCCAAAAGCCTTTCCCAGAGCCCTAACCCAACACCAGGTTACTAAAACGACTAAGGGGCAGCACCTGTCTTGAATATTTACAACTGTAGCAATTCATAACGTGCATGCACATAAAACAGGGGAAACTCTTGCTAAATTTCAGAATAGAAAGTTCTGAATGTTAACCTAAAGAGAGGGTACGATATTGTGGCTAAAATACCCAAGTCAGCACTGGCATGACACATTTTCCCTGTAAATTTTGAGATCTAAGTCCACGAGAGACTTGAGACACACGCTTCCCTTCATCTTTTCTCACAGGGGTGCAGGAATGCAGGGACTAGTCCCTTGCACGAGTCTCCCGCTGTCCTCTTCAGGCTGGAGCAAGTGGAGCCGCTTGGGGGATGGTCCCGAGAACTACACCAGGCCCTCCCCCCACCGCAAAGGCACAGTTCAGCCCCAACAGTTTCCATTCCTTGCTTGGAAGCAGCTCCATGCCAGCAGTTCAGAAATGGGAGAGCAGCCCGTGACAGCCACCAGGCGCCCCGCCCCCCGCCACACTTCCCAGAGGTGCACACCAACACCGACTTCCACGACAGGGTCAATTACGAGGTTCTGAGGCTGTCGGGCTACGGACCGTGGACATGAGGTGTGACTTGTAGGTTTTGCTCAGGCCTGTCATCCAGAATTTGAGCAGCTTGACATTGTCCTCCTCGGATGCTCCAAGGATACTCAGGAGTTTCTGGGTGTCCTCTTTGGGTCGACTGTCCACTTTGGTGAATTTAAAAAGGACCTTCACTTTGCTGTAGAAAACCAAACCAAAACACTCAGATCCCACAGCACAATCACCAAAGCTCTGGGCCTGGGGCCTAAGTGGCTTCAAAACCGAAAGCGGCCCCGCACATGGGGCTGGAATTCAAGCTCTGAGAGGAGACAGCGCAGCAGGGCAGCCGCCCGCACATGTCTCGCGCTCTCTAATCAGGCGCATCACAATGGGGAGAAAAGACAACTTCCTTAAATTCATGAAAGGACTTGGCTGATCTTAAGTTTCTCTGTATTATTTGAAATCAGGACTATGTTTGACTAATTAAATCTGACAAAAATTACTACGAAGACAGGAAGAAATAAAGTAACTTGCTTTAGTAAAATGGGAACATCTATTATCTGACTTTCCGATTTTTAGAAGTTAATTCAGCAGCTTCCCTTGGAGATAGGTGTCACTAGATCACTTGCTCGGTGTCACCCAGCTAATATATTAAGTGGCAGGGCTGGTATTTGAAGTCATGCTCTTAACCTCTCCTCTGGACTGGCTCTCCCGGCATCCACGGCCTCGCCTCTTTCCCTGGAAACAGCTCCTGGCTTCCCTCAGCAGACCTGCGGTGGACGGCAGCCTAGCCCTCCCCGGGAGGAGACGTCAGGGACCCCAGGGGTCTGGGTGGGGTGCACTCACTTCATCCACTCTTCCTTGAGGCAGATGAGGCACTGGTCAACCACGTCCACAGATAGATTCTGGTTGGTCAAAGCAGCTTCTATCTTATTCAAAATGGTTGGGCCAACTGGGAACGGGTGGGGGGCAGCGGGGTGGTCAGCACGGGGGAGTGCCTTCCTTCCCGCTCTCATTCTGGGGGAAGGCAGCCCCACTCAGCAGCACCCACCTCTGTCCGCAGCTACAGGACTCCCACTGGTCACGGTGAACTCGTACTTGCTGAGAGACTGGTCATCCTCACAGCCGGCTGGGTGGAGGCTGGAGCGAGCCGCTGCGTGGACCTCCACTACGACGGCAAATTCTGCAGCAACACAAAGCACAGCGCTCTGCGCGTGCTCCTCCTCTCGCCTGCAGCAAGCCCCTCGCTCTGCGGCTCCAAGTTACCTCAGGTCCACCAGGACAAACGCCAGCCTCCTGAGGTTAACACTTGGCGTTTAAAGCTTTCTGTGGTTTATTTGTAAATAGTTAAGGTTTAACTTTTGCCTCTGTTAAACTAATGATGTTATTTTAACATAACTACTAATTATATACTTCAATTCGCTTAATACTAAACAGCCCCACGACCGCTAGAGAGGCCCCACTCACTCCCATTTCACAGACAGGGAAGCAGACCCAGCCGCTGAGTGACGCGCCCCAAGTCACACAGCTGCAAGTGGTAAGAATCTCAAGCCCACGCCTGAAACCATGTATGAAACCAGAGCTGACGTTCTCAACGCTGCCCAGAGAAAAGGCACTGCCTCGCGCCTAACGCCCTGCCGACGGACATCCCAGCCGCCTGGGAGTGCGGTGGCTGGCCCTCACAGACGTGCTCAGAGAAGCCCTGACTACCTAGGAGGCTGGGACATGCACCCAGGCGGACTCCTCAATTTCCTAAACCAAAAGTGAGGGATGCTGCTTAGCTTCCCGGTCGTCTGCCTAGAGGAGAAAGCCCGTCAGCACTGAGGGCGTGGCTGGGCTGAGCAAGCCCCACCCCACTGACGGACGTGGAGGGAGTGTTTAAGGCATATACAGGGAGAGTGTTTGAGACCATGCTCCCAGAATAATATGCCATCAGTTTTGGCTCAAATGACCTCTTATTAAAAAAAAGGCATATCAAAGGATGAAAAAACTTGGAGAGGACAACGAAGCAGGACAGAAAAGTGAGAAGGCAAAGGCAGGCCCCGGGCCTCCGCCTCAGGGCAGACGCGGGTGCGCCCTCACAGCCCCGCCCACCCCTGAACCGCCACAGGGCCCGGCCCCTCCCGCCAGATGGCACCACGGGTTGCTCCCTCTGGTGCCCGCTGGAGCTGTTCCCACGGCCACGGCTGTGACTGTGGCCTGCCCCCAACCAAGAGCCGTGCCCTGGGTTGTCCAGCCCAACCCTCAGCCACATTAAAGACAGAACACAGAGGCGCGATGGCAGTGGGAAAGCTGGTCCCACAACGTGGGTCCTCCTCCCCCCGAGGGCAGCAGGTGACATCCCCGAATGCACAGCTAAGATCCCGTTCCACTTCTGCGCCGGGGAGTGCAGGGATCCCGATCGGACGGGGAGGGCAGGCACCTGAGGAGAGCACGTGGGCGGGGATCTGCACGCGCGGGCTGAGCCCCAGGAAGTTGCACCGGTAGGCCTCCTCGTACTGGCCGCTGTAAGGGGTGATGCGGACGCAGCCCACCGGCAGCATGGTCTAGGAAGGAGAGAATGACTCAGGACCGACACCAGCGGCCATGTCCTCCGCCCCCCACCTGTCTCCACCATCCACATGCCACGGACCCTCTGCAGCTCCGTCCAAAGTCTCCCTCCTCCCAGAAGGCGTTCCTGGTCACTCAGCCCCTCTAGGGTATATCCTGGCTTCCAGTCATACACGGCTCATGCTGCCTTTTGCTTTACGGTATTGATTCTTATGTAATTCTTTTCTTTCTCAGATGTTTGTCTCCTCCCTCACCCGACAAAGAGATGACAGGCTTTCTGAGAGACCGCGTCGTACCCACATTGTGCCCTCACAGCCCTGGGCAGGCGGCAGGCACTCCCACACCTCCTGATGACTTAGACACGTCAGAGCCAGACTCAGGCCCTGGCACCGCACATGCCTCTGGGAGGGAGACAGCAAGCTCCGCCTCACCCACCCCGCCCCACGCAGACCACTCTGTGCTGGCAGAACCCTGCCTCTGGCAGCTGTAAGCCACCCCCAGGGCTCGGAGAGGGATTCTAGGTGGGGCAGGGGAGGCGGGGCAATTACTTATCTGTCTCTGGGGTAGCCCAGACTCTTCTACTGGACATAAAGCCCAGGAAGGGCTGCCACTGCTAACGGCGGGGAGGCACACAGACCCCGAGCACAGGAGTGCGTGGCACACGAGGCCATCGATGCCCCCCCAGCCAGGTCAGCTTGGAAACCCGCCGTGGGCGCGCGAGGCCCTGGGGCGCCGAGGACAGAAGCCCTCTTACCCGGAGCACTTCAAACGCCGACAGGACGAGGTCGGGGTCTCTGCTCTTCCAGATGACCTGGTTCCCCATCAGAACGTGCCAGGCCAGCATGCGGAACGCCTGGGCGCCCAGGACCTGAGGGGCAGAGTGCAGCGCTTTCTGCCCACTCATGCTGCCGGTCAGGAGCCGCCCCTGCGCAGGGCAGGCCGGCAAGCCGGCAGGCAGGAAGCCACTCCTCGTCTCTGGGGGGCGCGGCGACAGGCCCAGGGTTGGAAGGAAGCAGGTGGAAGCCCTGGATTGGTACCTGAAAACCTGATCTTGCACATTTTATAAGATCTTTTTCCAATTTTATTTTCAAAACCTTGAAGCAGAAAAAGTTTTAGCTTTTTGCAACATTCACCTTCCCTCTGCACACACCTCATTTTGCTAAACCGCTTGAAGGCAGCAGCAAGCATCCCGAGACTTCAGGACCCTGAGGAGCGAGGGCTTCTACACAGCCCCCACCCGCGCTCCTCCCAGAAACGCCACGTCAGAGAGCCCCGGCCGCTCCGTCTGCTGGTCCTTCCTCTGCTTCAACCTCGACCGGCCCCCCTGCAGCCCGCTGTCTGCTCCCACGACACTGACACGGAGAAGGGTTCAGTCCTTGCCTCACGGCTCAGAAACGTGGCCACACACACACAGAAGGGAGCTACAACGCTGCCTTTTATCAAACCCCCAGAGCCTCGAAGCACTGCCACCTACAGGAAAATTCAAGAGTCCTTCCCACTTTAATCCACATAAGCACACGAGCGGGATTTCAGCCAAATACATGGCTTGGAGGGATGACCGTTTTCCGTTCGGAAGTCCCACAGAGCACTGGCCATTAAATCAGTTCTTCCTCCATTTTCCAAAACAGAAATAACTATCTTTTGATAAAATTCACGCTTACTGTAAAAATACAGAAAAATAAATGCACAAAGAGACAACCTGCTTCTGTAGCCTATCAATGCCTCCCGCACCCCCACCCCCGACCAAACAGGACGACAGCCCTCACAGCAGCAGGCGGCCCCGGCCCCACCGCCAGCCTTCTGGTCAGTGACCCCGTGGCGGTGGCCCCACAAAATTCTAATGGAGCTGAAACCTCTTACCACTGAGTGACATCACAGCCATTGTCAACCAGCAGCATCAGCCAGGTGTTGCCGGTGACATTGGCTGGGCAAACCCGCTGCACTGCTGGCGGCGAGAACACACAGAGGCACCGCCACATGGCAGGTCCGCGCTGCCGCACAGTGGCGGCAAGGCCGCCTGGCGACACACTCCTCAGGACGTATCCCCACCGTCAGGCAATGTGTGGCTGTGAATGTGTATGTGCATTTCTTTCTTGTGTTTAATGATAGTCCACTGTTTGAACACAGTGACCATGGGTGGACATTCAAGTTGTTTCCAACTTCTTACAAGAACAGCCATCATTTTAAATTTGCAAAGCAGCTAGGCTGCATGCCAAAACAAACAAACAAACAAAAGCCATTCTGTTCATTTAAAAGATTCTAGAATGACAGGATTAGCGTATTAGCGACCGTGAGAAGCCAACCATCCACACCTTTCTTTAGAAAAACACCTACATCATCGAAGAAAGGGCAGCACAAATCCTGCGGCCCGCGACACTCCAGAGGCCGACCGTTGGCTTCATCCGCACACCGAGAAGGTTCCAGGTGGCTCCAAAGCAGCCAGGCCCTGCTGGGTCTGGAACAGGATGGGCCCAAAGGACAAAGCACGCTCACACGGGCAAGCGAGGAACCGAGGATGGGGCTCTTCTCCCAAGTTCCTCATTGGGGCGCCGCCCCTCTGTCACCTACCTGTCTCATGTGCCGAAGGGACTTAAACACAGACAGCTTTCGGGGCTGCCAGTGATCACAGTCTGAGAGCAAGGAGGAATCTGTCGGGCATTTGGTCAGCTCCCGCCCTTCTGCACCCTCTGGACGGGCTCTTCCTTCTTCAGCCTCAGAGTTGTCCCAGCTTTCTGATTCCTCTTCCAAATCTGCAAGACAGACAACAAAAACAGTTATGAAACATGCTATCCCCTGGATTCCTTCATTTCCTGGATGCAACAGTTTCCTTACATGACCACTTCAGCACAAAACATCACATGGTCGAACCACCAGAGGTTACGGATTCCTGGCTGCGGCCGGCTGTCTACACTCCTGCCGCCCTCGGAGCCTGGGGCGGGCCGGGAGGGCCCAGCGCACGGTGCCCCGGCCCCGGAGCCTCCCTCTGCCCTGCCAAACACACGCCTGCGTGACGGCCACTGTTCGCTGCCAATGGGAAACTCGGAGGACACAGCAGCAAGGACCACGGCTTGTCTGTACTGAGCTCCTCGGCCAGTCCCCGTTCTGAGGGCTCCCACACATCATTTCACGTAACCCTTTCAATGGTCCTAAGGCCAATATGATTCTCACCATTTCAAAGATACAGAAATACCCGTTACTTCAATTAATTTTCATGATAATCCTCATAAGGGGTGAGACCCACAAGGAGGGGGCCACGCCCAAGCACAGAGAGAGCGGAGCAGCCAAGCAGGAGAAGCCAGGCCAGGCGTGTCTGACTCCCAAGTACGTGCTCAAACCTCTCTGACCAGAATACACACCAAGATGTGACCTGCATTTCCATCTCTGCTAAAAGTGTTTCTCCTGAAATACCTGGCTCTCTGTATAAGTCAGTCTCACCAACAGGCTACGCTCACCACCCTCCCTACAATAATAAGCTGTTCTAGGGCTGACCGACGCACAATGACAAGGCTCCCTCCTCTTGGACCGAACACGCTCTGCTCTCGCTGAAACTCAACTCCCGTTTCCCTGCTCAGGAGAGCAGGTCTGGGTGCAAGCGTGTGCAAGTCACTTGACAACAGGAGTGACCTGGAAACAGCTCCGACTTATTAGGAAGGCCCACTGCTCGCAAAATGAAGCACATCAAGCATTATTAGTAAAAAACTACACCCAACACACACCATGAGTCAGGTGTGCCCAACCGTGCAGTTGAGACCGTGGACCTGAACCCCCAAATACTGAATCACCCCCTAAGGAAACACACAGCAGGACCAGGACCGGAGGTCCCTGGCTGCTGGGCTCCTTACGCACCTCACCCTGGAGCCAGACAGGAGGGTCGACCACGAGCCTGGGGGACACTGCCCCTGGTGGACACCTCGGGTCCCGCTTGAAATGGGGAGGACATTTTATTGTTAAAGAGCAAAGAATGAGACGTCTAGAACAGGCAAGCACTTGGTTAACGATAAAACTAGGACGAGAAAACCTTCACCCACTTAATACTCTGCACGGTCTGGTGGCCCTAATGGTGGATCTCCCCAGCCTTCCCAGGGTCATATATTCTTTCATGGGACTGTCCAGGAAAATGAGACAGGAAGTCACAATACAAACACCATGGCCGAAGGCCAAGCTTTCTGCAGCTGCTCCTCCCGGGCCACCCCTCCCAGGCCCTGTCGGCCGCCACATGGAGGCGGCCGCGGGCCTGGGACGCCCCAGCAGCCACCACGGGCAGAGGGCTCCCGGCCCGGCAGCTCCCCGCTCACCCGCGAGCTTCTCCATCTGGACCAGGGTGTCCTCGGTGGGCGCGCCCTCCAGGAGCTTCTCGGTCAGCCGGCTGCCGCATGCTTTCAAGAGCCTGGAGAACAAAGCTGTCGTGTGTTCTTGCCAGAAGAAAAACTATACCTAAAGCCAGTTGAAGCCTCTTGATCGAAACACCAGTTTATAGAAAATCGTGTTAAAAACACACGTGGAGCCACACCACAAATCCTGAACAAACGACCCAGGCCTTCCAGCAAAAGGCCCTGGAAGCAGGCGCCAGGGCAGGGGAGGCGCCATGCGGGCCGGGGGCTTCCCGCAACCCACATGCCGAGTCCCGGTCCGGCTCACAGGTTGGCTCCGAGGCAGGACAGGGAACGTGAGCTGGGAAGGGCTGGGCTGGGTGATGCCTTATGTTGGATATGAAAGTGGTTTTATGACTGAAGTGACACAATTAACATTTGCTTTAAGAAAATTCTAGGGAAAAGTGAAGGGGCAGATGAAAAAGCAGTAAAACGTTGGTGATGCTAAAGCCGGATGATGGGCGTGCACAGTGCATTGTACTACTCATTCTACCTCAGGATGTCGTAAAATTCCCCTAATAAAAGTGACTTTTAAAGGCCAGGAATGCCTGTCAGACAGGTGGGGGCACAGGCACTTTCTCCTCAGTTCGCAGGAGCTGGGGAGCTGCCCTCGGGGACGCACACCTGAGGAACCCCATCTACCAGGACCTCAGGTGACAAGACCCCAGATTTCCAGCAGACACCGCTCTGGAAGGAGAGTCTGGGGAGTCTTTGGAAGGAGTGTATCTAGCAATGGAGGAACAAAACCAGTTTGTGGCTGGAGGACCAACTGTGGTCGTCTCAAATACGCCCCAAGTTCACCGACACTCCTCCCCTTAAAAGGCAGAGACGAACCCTCCCCTCCAGACGAGGCCGGCCTACTGAGCAGCACCTCTCGGCAGCAGCGCGGGCTTGGACGTAACATGGGGCTGTCGGGGCCGGGCTAGGAGGCCTTGCACATCTCACCTCATCCTCCCTTCCCTCGTTCGCCCTGAGGGACGTCGGCTCGGGCGCCCACGTGGCGAAGCGCAGGCCTCGGCCCACGGCCAGCAGCAGCCTGCGGCCCCGCGAGGGAGCCAGACCTTCAGGCGCCGCGGCCCCAGCCGACGGGAGCTCCTCCGAGCCTGAGCCAGGCCTGGCCGGCCAAGCCGCTCGTGCCACCTCCTGGCCGCGGAGGCCATGCGAGACAGAGGCTTGCCACTGCTCACCAAGGGGTCACTGGTCTTGGAACAGGAATATTGTTTTTAAAACATTGCTAGGAAGTGAGTTCTACATAAAGGGGCCTGGCACCTACTTGAGGGAAAGCTGCGCCCGGTTCAGCGCTTACTAAACAAGCACACGCCATGAAGGCGCCGATGGCTCTACCCCAGATCCAGGCACAATCCAAACAGCGTCCGGTAGCTGCTCTCATTCTAATAGCTGCTGAAAGAGCGGAGAATCTCATTACCAAGCAAAGGAGGTGTGGAGGCAGGCCCACAGGTTGTCGTCACTCGTCAGCGAGGTCAGCGAACGGGCGGCGTTACCATTCCTTTGGTGCAGGAATGGGGTGAAGGCCGTGTTCATCCTCTGGGCTCGCTGTGGGCATCCAAACTGCTCTGCTTCAAACACCTGAGGTGCACAGGAGAGGGGCGGTCCTGTAACAGGTCAGCCAAGCAGCCCGGCTGGTTAGCAGCCAACGTCAGGATGCCACTCCTGCGACTGTCCTGCTCTACTTCCTTGATGCAGAACACAGAAAAGGCCACCAGTCTCATCGTTCCAGAATGGCTTGCTTCCCCACTCTGTTAGAAGACACCTGAGGAGAAGACCTGGCTAAAAAGTTCTCCTGTACCCTCTCCTGCCACGAACTTGCTAGGCACTTGATAGATGCTAAGGCAGTATACGTGCTCAAGGTGGCCATTACTGTGAAGTCTCCAATTTTTTCTGCCCTCCCCCTCCTGGGCACATGGAGGCATTCCCTACTCAGAGCGTGGGGGAGGGGGTGGGGCATGCGGCCAGCACCCTCCTCTCCCCACAGCAGGCAAATGAGCAACATTCACCACAGCCGCTGCCCCACTCGCCAGGACCCTACAACGAGCAGATTCCCCAAGGCCCAGCAACAGACAAGCAACACGATCACGGGGAACACTGAGGTGGGAGGGCACGTGCTGTTTGCAAGCAGGGTCGGGGTCGCCGGGGCCCGCCGGGGCCCGCCGAGACACAATACGGAAGCCGGAGCGGGGCTGCGGCCGCAGCACGGTTAGTGAACACACGGTTGGAATGGAGGTCAGAGGAAGCAAAGGCAGCAGGGATGAAACCAGGGGGCCCGACTGCAGTGCAGAAGCAAGAGCCGAACAAGACTCGAGAGACCACAAAGCGGCAGGACGGGCCGGCCGACCGCGAGGCTTAGGGTGAGACCCCACGCTGAGGCCAGGAGACGGCAATGCAGACAGAGCCGCGGCCACAGGGCCGCTGGCCCGCGCCTGGACTCCGCGCACGGCTCTTCACCCACAGCCACCCGCTGCCCCCATCGCGGCCATCACCTTGAGAGCCTTGCCCTGGAGCTCGTCGATGATCCCTCGGATCTTCCCGAGCAGGAAGGGCCAGGAGTTGATGAGGTAGATCCGGTCCATCATGATGGTGATGATGCTGTACCAGCGCTGGAAGCCCCGGGCCAGGCTGTCTTTGATGAAGAAGGTGTGGCTGAACACGAACCCATGCTGCTCGTCCCCAAAGAAGATAGGGCCTTCACGACCGGGGCAGACCTGGGACAGAAGCACAGCCCCTCCAGGACACTGTCTTCTCCTGGCTTTAACGACGCACAACCAAACGACGCACAACCAAACCTTCCTCGCAGGGATCCTTTCTGCCCTTAGGAGCCACCACTAATTATAGTGGGAGGCGCAGGAATGAGAGGAAAATTTTGCTTTCATCAGCTCCTGAGGTCAAACTTTCTAAAGATAACATTTGTGATCATGGAATGCAAGGACCATTAAAGTAGGTTCATTACCTTTTTCCACCTTGAGCCGTAAGTCACTCCTATACAAGTGATAAATCTATCCCAGGCTCAGGTTCGCAACATCACTCGCCTGGGACATACTGGAATGCTGGCAGGAGAAAAGGGCTGCTGCAGAGGCCACGGAGGAAAACCTCACACTTTATTTGCAGGAGAGAGAATCAGGGCTCCCCCAAGACAGTCTCCCCCACCTGGCACACAATGCTGTCAGACATGACCACCTGCTGCTAGCAGGCTGGCGGAGGACGACGAGAGGGGGACAGCAGCAGGCAGGCGGCCGGGCAGCGACCGCCAGCAACCAGAGTGCGGCCCCGGAAGGAGGGCGCTCCGCGCGTCTGACTAAGTGGGTGTGGCGACAGGAAGTTTCAGTAACTGGATTATGAATCCTTTGTGACAGATAAAAAAACAGAGATGCTAAGACTCAAACTCAACAATAGCAGACGTGGGCTGCAGAAAGAAATGGATTCCCTCGTCCGCAGGGTCTGAGAGCACATGATGACTGAGAAAATAAAAACAGTGACGCTTGATACGGTAAACTACATAGCCTACAAATATTTCACATCTCGGAAATATGTCCATGAAGAATCAACAATGAAAGTCTGGTGCTGAAAATGGTAAGGTAGCAGCCATGGAGAAGAACCGGTGCAGGACGGTGGGTTCCGGGGCTCTGCCCCGCGCTCCCGGATCTGCCCGCCGCCCGGCAGGGCTGACCTCTGCCTCCTCCCGGCAGCTGACACTGAACCCAGTCAGGGAACCCTGGGGTGCAGGGGGTCCCTGCGGAGAGCCGCCTCCCCTCCCACGCCACAGGCGCTCACCTCACAGCTCAGGCTCCGCACGCAAGCCTGGCGGACGATGCTGAAAAGCTGGGGGTGGCTGGGGTGCTGGTGGCTGACGTATTTAATCGAAGTCTCTTTATCATGGCTGATATACCCAGGGTGGCCCGCAGCAAGTGACCGGCAGCCCTGCCCATGACAAGAAGAAAACCAGTTGGTCGGGAAGCAGACAACACACTTTCTAACTCATGCAAATCTCCATCTGTTTCCATACGACAGTAACTGGCTTCTAGAGTTACCCTTGCCCGAGGGGTGCAACGCTTCCTGGCCGGGAGAACCAGGGTGCAAAGGGCACACAGGTTTCCACAGGGTGTGAGCAGCCGACCTAAGCGACTGAGCGCCTGTGTAGCAGGTGCTAGGAAAGCTCCGCACCCGTTACCTCATTTAACCCAACGCACGGCCTCTGAGACGTCAGTGAGACGCCCGTCACACAGGAGGCAGAGCTGAGGCTCCCAGCTCCCAGGGGCTCCCGCAGTGCCCTGGGGTCTCAGGAGGCGGCTGCAGACATCAGCATGGCGCCAACGGGACCCGCCACCGCCTTGGGCCTCAGGCCCCAACCGAGGCCCCTCATGTGAGCGGCCTGGTGAGGGAGCGCAGACCCCCCTCCCCAGAGCTGACCAAGCAGCACAGAGAGGGACGCCCGGGACCCCCCGGGGAGGGAGCAGCAGACGGAGCCCGGGGCCCAGGGCGGCCGCCGTGTGAGCACCAGCGTGCACAGGGGACGGCTGAAGGGCGAATGTGACGGTGCTGGCAGCAGTGTGTTGGCACAGGGTGGGCTAGAAAAGCGAAAGTTGGGAAGACGGGAAAGAACTACAGGGACATAAAGAGCAGCAAAGCCACTCTGTGGAGAAGGCGCTGCACACCCCCACGAAGACCACACCTCCTGCGGGGTCCAGTCCCCAGCACCCCGCGCATGTTCCCGGCCAGGAGGCCCCCCACGCAGCACAAGCCCAGGGAGGGAAGGAGGGGGCCGCAACAGCCCTGAGCCACTTGCCTCACACATGTCCGACTTTTTGGGCCCTGGGCTGCTGGACTCCGCGCCAGCCCCGTCCGCGGGGCTGTGAGTGCAGGTCCCTCCGCTCATCTGAATGCCGCCTTCCTCCTCCTCCGCCTGCGCGCCAGGGCCAGGGCCGGCCCCCGCCCCTTTAGGAAGCGGCGCGTGCAGAACCTCAGTGCAAAACAGAGTGCGGGGGCCATGGAGCTCACAGAAGTGACAGAGCGCGACAATGGCGTTCATGGTGCCGTGGAGACAGCAGAGGCCTGCGTGGGGCGAGATGAGGAAACATGTCAGCGGCCTGTGTGTGTCCCCCGCCCAGCGCTGTCAGCAGCTCTGGAGCGTAGGGTCTGGCTGGCCACTGTCTCCTCGCCCGGCAGCACTGGCGGAGTAGCGACCCTGCCGCACTGCGCTGGGTGCAGGGGACACCAGAGACACGGTCCCTGCCCATGGGGTACAGCGACAGGAGGCAGCGGAACTCGGTGGTCACACAGCGCCCTGCCGCGGGAACGGGGGCAGCTCCGGGCAGACAGAGCCGCGCGGCGGCCTGCGAGAAGCCGTGCGCACGCCCCCAGGGGGGCCGGGGCCCGGGCAGTGTGGGCGCAGCACCCGGAGCGCAAGGACAGCGGGTTCCGGGCAGCGCGCGGGAGAGGTGCGATGTGGTTTCAGACCAAGGGCCCCCCAAGCGAGAACTGAGGGAACTGGGGCGGGGGCGGGGGGGGGGGGGCGGCCGGCGTGGAGCGCTGAGGGCGCACAGCTCCAGGTCTGAGTGTCAGCAGACACTTAGCAACAACAGCAGAAAACTAGGAGGAAGGCGACTTTAGGGATTATTTTAGGCCATGGTAAGCCCCTGATTTTTTTTCCCCCCAGGATTAGAGAGCCTTTCAAGAGAAACGTAATAAATTTGAATCTTATTTTAAAAGGACCACTGGGGCTGCTGGGCAGGAAACAGACGTGTGGAGCCAGGGCGGACGCGGGGCGGACGCTGTGTCCCGCTCGCTCACAGCAAAGAGGCGGCTGCGCGGCCAGAGGCCGTCTCACCCTGACTGCACCCCCGAGGCAGAGCCGGCGGCTGCTCGCGGGCTGCTGTGGGGCGTGAGGAAGGGCGCAAAGTCGTGGACCAGCAAGCGAGGAGCACAGAAGACTGCAGCCGGCGGCGGCGGAGGGAACGTGGGCGCGGCGGGGCCAGGGGCCCCTCAGGGCTGAGAGAGGAAGGGGAGGAAGCGCTGGACAGGGCGACGGTAAGGGCAGGCGGCGAGGCCAACTCACTGCAGCAGCGCCACCCGAGACCACGCGAGCAAAACCGGAAGGCGGCGAGCAGCAGGGCGCGGGCGGCCGCGCGGCGCGGCAGCTCTCCGTCGCGAGGGGGCGCCAGCGCAGGGAGAAGTCAGGCAAGGCTCTGAAGGGAGGAGCCTGTCCACTGGGCGGGCGGGCGGGAGGTCTGGGAGCGAGAACACAGGCGCCACGGAATGGAGATGGGACGGTTCCGGCCCAGCTTACATGACCCAGCTTACATGACACGTGTCGCACAGGAGGGCCTGGATGCCTGGCTACGGAGGACCCCCATCTTTTCCAGTCCCACACCGTCCAACACAGTAGCCGTGAGCACATGGGGCAACTTATTTAAATTCATTACATCAAAAAGCCCCATTCTTCAGTGTCACGAGCCACATTTCAAGTGTGCACTACCATAAGGGGCCCGTGCCATCGTTTAAAGGGACAGTGCAGATCATGGGACACTTCCATCATCAGAGTTTTATTAGATAGCCTTGCTCAAAACAAATGAGGAACCCCTCTTCTCTTTTGGGGACCCCACCCGCCATGACAAGGCCAAGGAAGGTTGTTGCACATCCTCTGTCCTCACTTCCTGGCAGGCAGAGGCGCCTGCCTGGGACACTGACCCTCGAGGAGGGCGAAGCAGCAGAGTGAACACTCACCGTGGGGGCGGGGAGTCCCCAGGAAGTCACCCTGGGGGACGGCCTGCCCAACAGACGCACCGAGCGGTGTCCCTGCCCGAGGGGTGTCCCTGCCCGTGGTCCTGCTCAGCCCGCTCTCTAGCCTGCCTGCTAACTCCGCCTCCCACCCGGTGTCGGCTGACGCGGTGGCCACGGCCGTCAGTCCTGTCCCTGAGGCAGGGGCTGGAGCTCAAGTGGCTTCCGTGGGAACGGCAGAGGCCAACACAAAACAGGCATCTGAAGAGAAAAGTCAGCTGGTCTGACAGCAAGTCAGGCCTGGGGATCAGGCAGAGAGACGCGAGGGACGGCTGGCAGGATGCAGTGCCCCGCGGAGGGGGGTGGGGGGGGCAGCGGGAGGAGACGGGAGGACGCTCGCTGGCGGTCAAGTCTGTACTACCAGAGAGGCTGGGGACAGAGGTCCTGAGCTCGCCCCACAACCTTCCACTCCTCACCATTCAGCCTCTCTGCGCCTCCCCTGCGAGGAGCGGCCCCCTGGGCAGCCCACCCAGAAAAGCCGCTCACCTCTCACCTCCAGCCCTGTCACCGTCCCGCCTCCCCGGCTTTGTTTCAGTGGAATGAACATCCTCCAAGTGGAGAGGCTTTGTCTTCTCCACAGCAGCGCCCCGCCCGTGGTGGCAGCCACGCAGCAGGTGTTGGGCGCGTGACTGAGCAGCTGCCCAGAGATGACAGCTCCCCAAGGGCATCCAGGAGCACAGCCACGGGGGGGCGCCAAGTAAACCCGATACAGGGGCCACATGGCTCGCTGCACTCAAGTCAAGGAGAGCAACCGTCAAAAACGCAGCATGGTCCTGAGCAGTGTAGCTCAGCTGGCTGAGCGCGGTCTCGCGAAGTGAAGGGTCGCCAGTTCGATTCCTACTCAGGGCCCAAGTCTGGGGTGCAGGCCAAGCCCTTCGTTGGGGGCATGTGAGAGGCAACCAACTGATGTTTCTCTCCTTCTCTCCCTCCCTTCCCCTCTAAAAATGAAGCAGCACTCTTGGCCAAGGTTCATGCCATCTGTAGAGCATCAATATGAACTTTTATGTTAAGTTGGCCTAAAAGTCTGTAACATTTTTTCTGTATGACAGCTCTAGTGCCGCTGGCCTTTAACTTCATTCAAAATAATTTTGTTAGCTATATTGTGACAACTGTCATATCAGTGTGCATTTAAAAAAAACTTATCAAAATTGGTGAATTTTTGTGCTGCCATTTTAATACTGAAGATGGAAGAAAATATGCAACATTTTCAGTATATTGTTTAATTACTTCAAGAAAGATAAAAACACAACTGGAACACAAAAGATTTGTGCAGTGTAGGGAGAAGGTGCTGTGACTGATCCAACATGTTAAAAGCGGTTTACGAAGCTTCTTGGTACTACTGACATTCTGGTCACATAATTCTTTGCAGTGGGGCTGTCTTATGCATTGGAAGCTTTTTAGCAGCACCCCTGGCCTCTACCCACCAGAAGCCAATAGTAAGTAGGAGACAGCTGACATACTTAAAATATCCAAATCAATGAAGTTATTGGTGAAAATGAAAAATGTATCTTTTGTTTTACAGGGAAAAAAAAACCATACAGACTTTCTGTCCAACCCAGTACTTGACAGAATCACACGTTCCCTGTCCCACCTGGACTAGAGCATCCCAGGCCACTTCCAAACAAGTCGGATAGGACAATGGCAGGCGCACTTCAGCCAAGACCGGATGTTTTGTAGGTAAAAAACAAACAAAACACAGAGCTAATTCTAGAGCAATGGACTTCGTGGCGTGAAAACAGTTCAAGCAGTGTTCAGCCAACCTCGAAGAGGGACACAAGCAAGGAGCTGGGGACTCCAGCGGCTCCGAGTCGCTTCGGGGGCCTTCGCCACTGAGCATTTGCTGGCTGACAGCAGCAGATGCTGTGGATAAAGTCTTAGTGGAAGTTTCCATTTCTACTGCAGTGTTCCATAAAGGATCTCTTGAAAAATAAATATATTTAAATATCTTTGTAAAATATAAAATGCTAAAAAATAGTCCTCATCCTTCCTACTCTTAGGTAGAAGGCTAGTAGTCACTGGAAGGCGGTGAAGCACCCTAAACAACAGGTAACTCGAGAGTCACACAGACCTTCTGGGTTGGAAAGCCTGTCCCCAGCCCTTACTGGCCATACAACATCAAACATGTTCCTTAACCTCTGCAGGCACCACCTGAAAGCCGAGAAGACAGAGCCAAACCCACGTCTCCGAGGTGACTGCGGCCCGGGCAGCCGGGGTCCTGGAGAGCAGGGGGTCGGCTCTTCCTCACCGCCTTCCGCAATCGCTGCCAGATGTCACTGCGGAAAACAATCTGGTTTGAGTAGGCCCAACAGCTCTTCCTTTCCAACCAGCTTTTTAGAATCCAAGGAAGAGGCAGAAATCTTCCCTGCCCAAGAGGCCAGGTCCTTGTCCACATCCCCTCCCACAGCGGCTGGGCGGACCTAAACAGTGACCTCCGGATGGCCCTCCCACTGCTGTGGTGTGCCCTGGACTCGCGTTTACTTCCTCCCCACTCCCTGTGGTCTTCTAGGACCACAGAGAATTAACGATGCCACCAAGTATGAACACTTTGCAAATAAACGCAGCATTAAAAAGGCTGTGAACCGGTGGTCAGCACGAGAACCCTGTGCAGCTTCTTGAACTAGATCCCTGCAGGGCAGCCTCACCGAGTCAACTGGTGCCAAGTGAAAAGTTCCCTGGAGCGTTCCCCCTGGTCAGACCCCACGCGGTGGCTCTGCTGTGGTATCTACAGATTTCGCCTGGATTTCTGTGTACAGGGCTCCTTGGCGCTTGACACTGGAAAGACAACACTGTCATGTGCCATTACTATTCAGCTGACAGCATGGATAACCTTGTGTCTCTAGCACTTGCTCTGCTGTGACCAGGAGTCCCTCCTGCTACCTGAGTGGACGCTGTGGGTGTGCCAGGGGTCCAAGGACTGGAGAGCCACTACCTCCTTTTAGCAAGGCCCTCCTTGCTCTCTGCCTCGGTGGCTGTCGAGGACCACCTGGGGTTTCAATCCACGAGGAACCAATCCCTGGGCCAACCTTCAGGAAAGAGGGATGCGCCTGACCATGCCCACCCGACCGGACAGGCGGGTCTTCTACCCTCCCAAGACCCAGACCCAGGCCTGCCTCAGTGTCGCCGGCCCCCAGAACGCCTCTGGGAGCGAGGAAGGAGGACACACACACTGTCCCCTACACACAGAGCCGAGGGGCAGAGCGCAGCGGGCCGGCAAAGAGCAGTCTCAGCGACGCCAGAGGACACTAAAGCAAAGAGGCCAGCAACGCGGCCCCCGGTCCTGTTTCTCACCCTTGTCCAGCTGCGACCTTCCAACCGTTCTCATCTCGCGGCTCAGATACACTAACTGCTAAAATTCTGTAGCACACCAAAATTACATTTTTGGCAATCTGACAAAAGTATAATTTTGATTCATTCACAAAGACACTATTGCGTGTTGGCTGCTGTCACTTTCTTATTTGGCAATCTAAGGGGAAAGAGGTCAGCGCCCCCCCCCCCAAACTGTCAGGTGTTGTGTGTGTGCACGGTGGAAGTCGCTGCTTTCGAGTTCCCAGGTGTGCCCCCACCCCGTCCTGCCCCCGCATCTCAGGTCCTCGCACCCCCTTCCTCTCCCGCCGCCTGCCACCGCCCTCACTAACCCACTTCCCACCAACTCGGAACTCGGCTGTGCCCCTCGGCTAACCCAAGGCCGTGGTCCCGCCCTGGCCCCGGGGCTCATTGCCCAGAGCCCACTCCCTCTCTCGGTTGACCGCCGTAGCCAGGCGCGCTTCCCACCTCCACGGAGGCGTCCCACTGCCCCAGTCCGGCCTCCGCCGCGCCTCGGACTAACTAGACTAGCCAAGGCCCGCAAAGACCACGCAGGGCCGGAACCGTCCCAATGGCGGAGCTGAACTCCGACGGGCATAGGAAACACCCAGCCCGGCGGCGCCCTGGGCCGCTGCGCACCTGACTGCGTGTCTTCCTGCCGCAGCCCGGCCTGGGCCCCTCCTCGAGTTCGTAGGCCCGGCGCCCAGCCCCGCGGACGCCCGCCAGCTCCTGCGAGCCCCCGTTCTCCACGCCGGACGAGGGTGCCCGAGCCACGCCCGCCGCGAACTCCGCTCGTCCGACCGCCGCCGCGAAGTCCAAGCCAGGGCGCCTGACCAGGCCGGACCGTCCCATGCGCCTAGCCCGCGGGGGTGCTCGCGATGTCCGAGCGCAGCTGTGCCGGCGGGGCGAGCACGGCGCCGCCGGGGCCCACGCCCTCGAGAAGACCCCGCGGGTCCGGCCACGCCGTGGCTGGCAGAGAACCTCGAGACGCCGCCTCACACCATCCCCCTTCGCCGCCCCCTTCCCAAGCCCCCCACCAAAAACCCCGAAATGGCTCAATCCGTACCGACGAAAGCTATTGGAGGAAACCATTTCAAGAGGAGGGAAATGCTGAAATTAAAAAGCTTTTTAGGCGATTTGAGGGAAAATATAGTATCCTAGGACGCCCGAAAGAAACAGAACGTCTCAGCGTTAAAACAAGCACTGTAATTTAAAAGTTGATTTTTAAGCCGTTGGTGTTTACTAAATGGCCGACGAGCCCGTCCTCGGTGGAACGTGCGAGCAGGCGGCGCAGAGGCGGACGTCACGGGACAGGGCGTGTGATTCCTGGTGGGCGGTTCCTGGGCGCTGGAGGTGGGGCGGGGTCGGGGTGAGCAGGGCTGCAGTGCGCGTGTGCATGACTCAGTCCTCCTCCGTCGTCTGCCCACTCGCCCGGGAGGTGCTGCGGAGTTCTTGAAATACACTAATCGATTACTAAGTAATACTTTTTAAAACCTCGGCACCTGTTAATCTGTCTGCCTAAGAGTTAATATTACAGCCATCTGTGCACGATGTTCTCTGGCTCCTTGGAGTTAGACTCCGACCCGCAGAAAGGGGGCTCGCCCGAGGCGGTGCCGCCAAGGGTCCTGTCGCAGCCAAAGGCCTTGCTCCGCTCTGCGCTCTTAACCCGGAGCCAGGCGCCCCGGCTGGACAGGGTGCCTAGAGCGTGGTGGTTCTGAAGCGTTGGGAAAGAACATCAACCATGCTGAAGTAGAAGTGGGTGTCTCCTGTGTTGTTTAAATCGCCGAGGTCACTTTCTCTTTGAATTTCCGTGTTATGATGAAGAGAAGGCATGAGAAAAGAACGAAATTGCGATTTGTTTTCGGCCTTCTTTCACTGGTGTGATAAAAGATTAAGGAGCAGGGATGGAATTAGCTTAGGCATTGCCTTTATGGGTTTAATTACTCTTACCAATCCCAATTCCTCTTGATAACAGACAGCACAAACTTCATACAGGGGTGGGCAAAAGTAGGTTAATAATAAATAATACAAAATTAATAAATCATGATAGAAGAATAAACTTTGTTCCCCTACTCACAGTTGTAAACCTCATAGACACAACAGTGCAGAGATGACCTGAGGGAAAGGCTGGGGGAGGCAGAGGAGGGTAAAGGGGGTAAAGCGTGACAGAAGGAGCCTGCACTTGGGGTGGCGAACACACAACACAACATAGAGATGTGTCATAGAATTGTACACTCGAAACCTATATAATTTCATTAACCGATGTTACCCCAAGAAATTCAATAAAGAAAAAATAAGAGAGAAAGACAAATACCATATGATTTTATGTTTACTCCAGAGAACTCAAAAAAAGCCAGAATCATCTTTTTGAGGGCTGGCTCCTCGTGGCACAGGCTTCCTTCACTAGGTGAGTGTTCTGGAAACCCGTCTGTGTCCGTGCACCCGCTGACATTGTTGTGAGAGGCTGCATCAGCTTCAGGGAATTGTTTTGAAGACTCAACACATTTGCCCATTTCATGATGGTGATTTACAAATGCACCTGCCCACAGAGCGTTCAGCCTTCAGCACTTTCTGACCAAAAATGGCATGACCCCTGGGCCCTACTCTCCCTATTCGTCCAGTCTCGCCCTGAGACTGTTTTGTTTCCCCAGATGAAACAAGTCCTCAAAGGGAAACGTTCTGCTGATGTGGAAAGGTGAAACAGAAATGTGGCAGAAGCACTAAAAGGCATCAAAACCAATGTGTTCAAAAACTCTTGAGCACTGGAAAAGAAGTCTCAACAGGTGCACTGCATCAAGTGAAGAGTATTTTGACGGTGACTGAAGCTTATTAAACGTGAAAGGATACATACACAATTTCATATAAGTTCCACTTCTGGCAGTGCTCCCTTGTATATGTACTCTGAAAATCACCATAAATGAACACAGAAACAGTCACAAATACAGAGAACATTTTGATGGTTGCCAGATGGAAGGTGGGCTGGGGAGATGAGTGAAAGGGGAAGGGTTTAACATGTGCACATTGCCAGTTACAAAGTCAGTCACGGAGATGTAAAGTGTAGCGTAGAAAATACAGTCAATAATACTGGGTGGAGCCAAGTAGGTTCATAGTTGAGAGTACACGAAATTGTTTCTTGTATTATTATTGTAGTATTTTCCATACAAACAACTGTAAACTTAATTTTGCCCCACCCTGTATTGTAATAACTATGGTTTCAGATGGGTACTAGACATACTGGGTGATAATTTTGTAAGTTATATAAATATCTAATCAGTATGTTATAGACCTAAAACTAACAATATTGTATGTCCACTGTCACTGAAAAAAATTTTAAACTCTTTTAAAACCGAATAAAAGATTCCTTGATGCTTTTCTGCCTTCCTGCTGCTAAAGCAAGAGGCGCGATCGCGTGGGTACAGACAGCTGTGCGTCCGGGCCGAGGGGCGCTTCACGGGCGCCTGCTGCCAAGACCATAGGTCAATGCCAAGTCATGTCGAGTCTCCTTGAGCAATTTCTTGCAGAGGTTTTTAGATTTGCCCCAATCAATATATGGTCTCATGTAGCTACAGAATACAATTTGGCTTTCTCTTTGAGTCAAAAATCACCATGTCACTGAATCAGTCTGAAGTTTCAGGAACAGGAGGTTATGTTTCATTTGTAAGCAGTTGGATCTAATATTTTTAATCACCTTGTTATTTTAAGGGTGCTATAGTAGACTCTGTGTTATGAAAATAATTAGCTTACACTTTCCTTTCTTCCAACAACCAAGGCAGCGCCCTGCGCCCGCAGAGGTGTCTGCCAGCGTGCGTCTGCCCGGCTGCGGGAGGGCGGCTCACAGAGGGCCGCGCTCAGTAGGGGCCTGCGCGCCCTCTAAGTCAATGTGCAGTTTTAGGTTGTTAGACAATCGACTCTGCATAAAAAGTGTCCATCCAGTTGCAGGCAAGAGCTATTAGTGGTAGTCCAATATTTTCCTTTAAAAAAGCATGCTAGTGTTAATTCAGCATTTCTTAACATAGCAATTTTAGAAAGCTTTTAAAAATTAGCCCCTCCTTATTAGAATTCAACCGATTAGGATTTTTGTCTTTTAATGTAATACTAGCTGCTTTTAAATTACCAAACAGCTCATTATGAATCCAGGCTTATTAAATGCCTTTTATAATCAGAAAAGTTCTCTGGTCTCAACTGTTGATTTTAGGACAGGAGGCAGATAGGAGTTTATCTTTATTTGCGATCATTAGGTAATTCAGCTGCCTAAAAGAGGTGGCCCACCCACCTAGTTTTCCTACTCAGAAATACCATAGCTGATTTTCCTGGTCATTTATTTTCTCTGGGCCCTTTGCAAGTGCTCAGACTTCGGTGCAGAAGTTTTCTTGCACCGATTGGCTACCATTTCAATTTTCAACCCAATCAACTTAGAGCTTACACACCCCAGGAAGGAGCGTGGGGAGACGCGGGCGAAGGGAGCCCTCAGAGAAAACCACCGCTCACGACGGCTCCCCAAGGCGAAGGTGGCGGCATCAGGGACCAGGAGGCGCCTCCCGTCGGGCCTGAGCGCTTTCACACAGGGTGGCCACGTGACACAGTCGCAGCCTATGGGATGTAAGCAAGCACAAGTCTGCAGCGCACTCCTGGGGACCTTTGGGAATACAGGCACTGACCCATCCTACTTCGTGGGCCTTCTTTTGGATTACAACGTAGATGAGACACCTGGACGTGCAAACACCATCTTGACACCATGAATGAGATGTAGGAAGTGAAAGTGAGTATTCTACAGACGATGAAGCGGCCAGGGTAAAAGACCTGGAGGCTCCGGTCCTGCCTGCCTCCCCCGCCACTTGTAATGAGAGATAAACAAACGGCTCATTGTTTAAAAAAATTACAAACCTCAAAGTGAATCTTTGAAAAGTGACTAATGAATACCACTTGTCAACTGGCATAGAAAGAGAAGGGAATTGAACAAGGTAGGTCCACCAGTGAACACCAATAATAGTTCAGCATACCTGAAAACCTGACTTAACTTGCCCTTCTGCCAAATTATTTGCTAGAAAAGTAAAAGTGCTTGACCCTCTTAACTAAGGCTAGTTGGTATCTTTCACAGTGTAAAAAATTACGTAAACAGAGCCACTTTCAAAAGGAACTGGAGCTGCCACGCCGAGGAGCTGCCCTGCATGTCTTCTGCCTGAAACAGTGGAAGGCTGAAATAGGGCAAAGTAACCTTTGGATGGGGCCTAAGCAACACGGGGCCCCCAAGAACTGTGTGCAAGGCTAGCAAGAAAGCAGATATTAGGACTGCAGGACTGACGGCTGTGAGACTGGAAACTAAAAATCTCCAGCACGAGCATCGCCGGTCAGCTTATCTGCACCAAGAGAGCTGTCTTCCTTCCGCTGACATCGTTCCCTTTCCCTCCCTCACGCATATCCCTTGTCTTTGGCTCCTCATGAGAACATTGTTTGGGATTCTGCCTGAATCAGTGCTTCCTGAACAGCTATTCTTTTTTGATGTCAAATAAGTGCGTATTGCCTCACCTTGGCCTTCTGTATTTAGTTTAACAAAAAGTACAGTCAGGTGTCAGGACTCATCGGCTTCAGAGCTCGTCAAACCCTGTACTCGTGGCAGTTTGACGAGAAAAAAATGTTTCAGCACTTGGCGTGTGCTCAGGACTCACTGTACTTGCTAGAGCTTGTATGAGTCTCGACGCTGCCCCGCAAGAGAAAGTGCTTCATCGCTCAGTACTCGCGAGTTCCAGCGCTCCTCACGAGTTCCAA